CAAGAAAGACAAGTCAAAGAAAAAAAGATTAAAAATAGGTTATAAGAAAATTAACATTTTATTTGAGTAGCGTAATAAATACTCATTATTTCACTTAATTTTCCCCAATTCTATCCTCTTATCGACTTCTCGGAGCAGTTCCTCCTCAGTGGCATGTTCTAAACAAATCATATATCATTCCTTTAAATAATTTTCAGTATCCAAATATAGTATATTTTATGGACTTATGGAGGAAAAACTAAGGTAAAATAACTATATAAGATGAAATTGAAAATTCCCAAAAGGAGCAAATTGCCAACTGATGTCTTAGAGGATTTCAAAGATAGAGATGTTGCCAAATTGTGATACGAAGGAAAAAGAGTAAAGAGGCTGCCGCCCTATTTAGGAGGCGATGCACTTTTGGAAATTCTCCAACTTCTTAACCATATTGAACATCCACTAGAATTACGAGAATTGTTGCCTCCTAAAAGCAAAGTCAGACAGATAGCCTTTGGAAAAAGAAAAGGTCAATGGAAATTTAACCTGGATAGTCAATTCAGAGTTATTTTTACTTGAAAAGAAGATATTAAAAAAATTATCCGCCTAGAAGTTGGCGAATTCCATGACGAGCAATAATATTACCATGAATAATACCCAATTTTATCAACTAAACGACAAAAGAGAAATAAAATTTACCCACCCAGGAATAATTTTGAACAAAAAAATACTAAAAGAGAGAAGAATTAGTCAAAAAAAGTTAGCTACTGAAACTAATATCCCCCTACCACTGATTAAAGAAATTTGTCAAGGCAAAAGGGATATTGACCAAAAGTTAGGAAGAGAACTGTCCGCTTATTTTCGGGTTAATAAAGATTTTTGAACTAATTTACAAAACCATTATAATTTAGTTAGTCAAAAAGAAGACGACCTTTTTGAGGTAGTGGAAGCAAAAGAATTAGAAAAAAACAAGTGCTGCCAAATAACTTTACGAGTAGGTTATAGAGAGTTAAAAGAAATATTTCCTAGCCATTGAAAAGAAATTAAAGCCAAGGCTAAGAATGCTGGTTTTCTTCTCTAATTTTACTCAACTACACTCACTCTAGGCTGAACAATTTTCTGACAATAAGAACAAATTCTATATAAATGATAAGTATTGTAATTAGAACCTGAAATTCGAGAATATTTAAAATTATCAGTTTTAATCTGCCGACAAATTTCACACAATTTAGTTTCTTTTTTTGTTACTTCTCGGTTAATTTTATTCCGGCTATTTCGACTTCCTAATAATTTTTCTAATTGCCAGATTTGTTTCTGCTTATCTTGAATAGTAATAAGAGCCGTTCCTAACTGTTTTTTTATCCCCTCGTAATCTTTCTTAATTTGGTCTCGTTCTTTTGCAGCCTCTCTTCCTTTTTCTAATAAAGTCGCCAACTTATCAAAAGGGGCATTAGTAAAAGTATAAATTTCGGAGTTGGGTTGTTGACTAGTTTTTTTTAATTCTTGTATTTGAGTTTCCAGCAACTTCGTTTCCTCCTCTAATTTTTTGACAGTTCCTTGCAATTCTTTATTTTGTTTAGGCAGATCACCAAGTTGCTGTTCTTTTTTGACAATTACTTCCTGCAAATCCTCAATAGCTTGTTGCCATTGTTTATTTTCACTTTCCAATTCCTCATAAGTAGGTTTTTTAATATCCTCAGGCATGTTTTTTTAAAGAGTTTCTTCTTCAAGCAACAGTTTGGGAGTGCCAAAATTCTCAATTTGTAAATACTTTTCTAAATTAGATGCAAGAAAATATAAACTGCCTCCATCGAAATCATTTTCTTTACGATAATCTTTACCACCGCTTCACTTCTCGAATAATTGTTGGTAATCTAATTGTTTGTTTAGAGACTCTCCCACTCAATCAAGAACTTGCCGAGCTTTAATTTTCTTCTGCTCATCGTCCGCCAAGTTTAAGGCAAATGACAGATTTTGCGGAGTTGTGATATTCTTTTCTAAATAATCAGTTCAATTATGATAGACCCTGTTCAATAAATCTTCTATAGCCTTCTCCGCCTGATCTTTGCGGATAACGGGTCTGGCACTAACATACTCTTTTAATAACTGATCAGCAAGAAATTTCTCAATATGACGTCTTAATCTCTGCTTTTCCTGTCAATACTGGGCAACCTTGCTTTGGCTATCTTGCAAATCTTTCTCCATTTTATCACTCTTTTCTTTAGTTCAACGGTAAACATAATCATCCCAAAATTTTTGCGAAGTAATTGGCAAATCGGGCCTCTTGCTTAAATTTTCATATTCCTGCTTGGCTTGGTCTAACTCTTTTACACTAAAAATACTCATTCAATTATTTAATTTAGTCCCCAACTCTCTAATTTCCTTGTCCTTATCAGCAGCAGTCTGTTGGTATTTATTATTCGCTTCCTCCAATTTGGTCTCCAACTCTTTTATTTTATCCCCCTTTTCCTGTTCCATCTGCTTTAGCTTTTCTTCTAATTCGCTTATCCGTTCTTTAACTGCTTGAGGAGTTTGCTTTTCAAAAGTATCAGTTCAACCTTGTAATTCCTCCTTATTTTGTAAATACTGGTCTTGGTTTTTATCTAATTCTTTTAAGCGTTCTAATCTCAACTTTCAGTCGAAAGGCAAATCAGAAACTTGCAATTTATCGTAAAGATCTAATTTTTGTTCCTGGCTGGGTTTTAACTTGAGATTCGCTATATCTCCTTTTCACGGAGTATTTAAATCCCCTATTTTTTGTTTAATTGTTTCCTCGTCTAATCCAGCCTTTACTAATTCGTTAAAGGTTTTTTGATTTATTCCATTCATATTAATTTTTAACAGCAAAAATAAGTGGTGATGTTTGGGGTTGTTTTTCCCAACTAGCCATTAAAGGTTTTTGAGCCCGAACATGATTAATAAAAGAAAAAAGAGCCAAGTCAAAATCATAAATCGGTTGATAATCCTCACTCTCACCATTTCATTCTTTTAATAACTCATCATAAGTATAATTGCCAACTATTACTCCGCTGATATAAACTAAAATTTCTTGGGCTTTGCGTCGTAAATGGGGGAATTGAAAACTTAAATGTAGTAGAGGTTTTTTCTTACCAATATCGGGGTCTTTACTTTCCAAATATTCCACTCAACTATTTCGAGTTTTAATTAATAGCCTCTTAATAGCCTCTTCGTTCTGTTCAGGCGAGACAATTAGATCGGATAATGCCAACCCCCGATCTTTGCCCATTTCATTCACTCCTTTAATTATGTCGAAAAGATAATCGTTTCTTTGTCTTAGAGTCTGCTTTTCCTTTTCCAAATCAATTTGAGTATTAATTAAATTAAAATTCTTTAAAAATGTTTGATTTAAGTTTTTTAACTCCTTTAAATCAGCATTATCGGCAACTAATAATTCTTGAACTTGTTGACAATTGGTTAAATCCAAAATAGTTAAGTTGTTTTGACTAGCAATAATTTCTTTCACTTCGCTCTCAACTCCTTTTTTATCCATATCAATTTTAACTTTACTTAAATCCAAAATAGTTAATCCATTATCTCTAACATTTACATGTTGTAAATTAGGGCAATTGATAACGGTTAGAGAATTTAAATGATGGTTCTTGAGTTCGATTTTCTTCAATAATGGATAATCCTCAACGATCAAGTCCCCAGTTAATTTTTGGTTCTCGGCACTGATTTGAGTAATATCTTTATCTCAATT